CCGCCTCAGAGGAGGGGGTCCGCCTCAGAGGAGGGGGTCCACCTCAGGTTAACATGCTGTTTCTTGTGTGAATATTTATGAATCATATTGTTTTCCTGTTTATATTTATTATTTCTGGCTGCTCCCTTTACGTTTTGGGGCATCCTTCCTGTTCTGCAATTTTTCTGCAATTTCGGCTACTATTTAGCTGTTTTATACTAATTTAAGCCTTTTCACTTAATTCAACATTTTTTGCACTCATTGGATTAACCTAATTCAGCAAAAATGTGCTCTCTCCACTTCCTTCTGTAATTTAAGCTTCTTTCTGCCTTTTTAGCTATTTTCAGCTGTTTTGGGCTAATTTCAGCTTTTTCAGATAATTTCCACTTTTGTGCTCATTTTTAAGCCTTATTGGGCAAACATGTGTTCTTTCTGCTTTCTTCAACTTGTTTTACATTTTCAGCTATCTTTAGCATTTTTTTTTGCCAATGTCAGCTGTTTTCTGATAAATTCATCTTTTTTGTTAACCTGCTACTTTCAGTCTAATTAACTTTTTTCTGCTAATTTCAGCTTTTTCACCTTTCAGCATATTTCTGCTATAGTTTCAGTTATTTCAGCTACTATTTAGCTGTTTTGTGTTCTTTGTTTTAGCTTTTTCAGCTCATTTCACATTTTTTAGCTCATTTCAGCTCTTTCCACTTTTGGTAGTTTAAGCTTCTTTTAGCCTTTTCAGCTAATTTTCAGCTCTTTTTTTTTCAAATTTCAGCTTTTTTTTTTTTTTAGCAAATTTCCTCATTTTTGTGCTAATTTTTGCATATTTAAACCCATTTCAGCACTTTAAGCTGTTTTTGTTTCGTTTGAATTTGATTTCTTCTCTTTTCATTTTATTTGATTGTTTATTGTTGTCTGGACCTCGTCTGTTCTTTATTTAACCAGGTCTCTCTGGAAACGAGTCCTGGAGGCTCAATGAGACTAACCTGTAGAAATAAAGGTCTTTCTGTTGTCTTCTGCTGATTTCTTGCTCTTCAGCTGAAACTCAGCATGTTTTTAGCTCATTTCAGCTTTTTTAGCTCATTTCAGCATGTTTTAGCTCATTTCAGCTGTTTTTAGCTCATTTCAGCATGTTTTAGCTCATTTCAGCTGTTTTTGTCTTGAGCAGTGAAATGTAATTCGTCAGGTTTATTGTTTTGATCCAGCACCAACAGTCTCACTGTGAGAATGCTCTTTAACTTGAACAGTCGCTCTCTGAAGGGGAATTCCTGAAACTTGATGATTGGGGGTGGGGGGGTGGGGGGGGGCAGATGCCAACAGCATGAGAGAGACGCAGATAAGGGAAGCGCAGCAGTCAAATATTCA